GCACAATCTTTATAGAAATTAAGTTCATCACCTTTTCTTCCCAAACAGACAGGTCCTCCTTTAAAATCTTCTAGACTCTAATTTTATTCCGAGAAAGAATGCATGTTGTCATCTTTCAAGGTGTTTCTCTAATAATCTTTTTGCAATCTTAAAGTAGTCTGTCTTAATATATCCAGTTGAGTACTCACATATTTTACCTATTTGTGATAAGCAGTGTTTTATGCACCCACCTATTTATTTTTTTTCTGAAGTGTTAGAAAATTACACAGATGCAGAAGCAACCAACCTTTTTATACACTGTGTGCCAGAAAATCTATATTCACATGAAAATTACACATCGAGATACTGTATATGGCTTTTATAACATTTAATGAGATTGTACAGCTAATGTGGCTACTGCTTTGCACAGTTACGAATTAGGCTTCATAAACAAATACATGTCAGGTAAATATTATCCTCTCCATTTTGCAGGTGGAAATACTGAGGCGTGGTGCTGCTGAGACACACCTCCCTGCAGTTATTTCCTTCAGGTGGGTGCCTAAAATTTTTGAAGGATCAGATGATATGAGATTCCTCAAAGGTTAGGATGGCAGAGATGGAAACTCAAATACGCTCTTTTGATTTCAGCTGTAATGTCACTAGCCAGGTAGGCTTTCTTTGCTTGAATTCAGTCCTTCTCTAATCACCCATCCAAAACCAAATACATATGTGTATATATATATATATATAGATATATATATACACACACATATGTTTTGTATAAATACATAAATTTGCAGAAGCACACAGAAGGAGTCAAAAAATAAAGCCAAATAAATAAGAATAGTTTTAGGGGCATATCAGGACTTCACTGAAATTACATTCCAATAGTTTAGAACCTTTCAAATTCCCTAATAAATTAACGACCAGGCCATGTGTGTGCCTGCCTGTGGAAAACACACTTTCCCTCACTAATTCAACATCTGTTAATTTGGTAATGCTGCCTTTGAATGCCATCTGAATGAACCTAACAGAATTTTGTCTATTTTGAGCACATAACATGAAAACATATAGCATTTTTGCATCATTTCCAGAATTTCAACTTTGTCATTAAATTACAGTGAAAAAAAACATTTATGTTAATATGACGTGGTCAACTTAAATAACAAGAAGTGGATTAGATGCCATAGGAGCTTTTAAATTCACATTACGGAGACATTAGTCTTTATAACTTCAGCTTTTGTCACAGGTGTGGTAGTTGTGGATTTTTCTGTCAGTTTTTAATACAATCTCCCTGAAAAATATAAGATCATTTACTCTTCCGTGGAGTCAAAATACATCTTCGTACTGGTTCAGTAAATATAACTACTGTCTGACAGATAGAAAACATACTTTTGTGGTTAGCATCTAATCTAAGACTTGTAATAATAATAATAAACTTTTGTTTTCCTCCTCCTTTTTAAACACTCCAAAAAATTAAACAGCTAGGAAAGCAGAACTTATATTTCTAAACCAAGATGCCTGAATACTAGCATTTTTTTGCCTTTGTAGAATTTATTTGTACTATGTATGAAATGTTCAGGGCAAGCAACATGCTAAAAAATAAAACTGCTTTGGAAAAAATATTTTTTCAAATATTTTTCTTTTTTTTTTTTTTCCAAATACTTCCCACGCAGGGACCTGAAAGAGCTTCTTACCAGAAAATTCCTATAAAACATTTAAAAAGATTATCTTGGTAGAACTGACTTAATGAATACTCAAGATGCAAGCTCAAATCTACCCTGTAAAGCAATCACGGGTTTTTAGCAACTATTTTGACCTTAGTGACACAAACAATTAATTCTATAAACTTAATATCGAAATAAAATTCTACATCTAATGCAGAATAATCTGTCAATGTATTTAATCAAGGATATCTTTTTTCCATGTATTACACATTCTAATATCTAACACCAATTTTAACAGATAAGAGAAAAAAGAGTGAAAAACTCAGATGTGCATTAATGTATATCTGAGATAGACAGAGATCATGTCTCATCTTATGCCAAAATAAAAGTAGAAGCACAAGCCAGAGTAGATTACATTTTGCATCCTATTTTAATAAGAATCTATGTTCAGTTTAGCAATAGTTATAAATTGATAAATATCGACAGTAAGATAAAAAGTTGCTTACGTTCTAGTCATAGATCTTCAAAGCCGACCTGATGACTTGTGACAGCACTCAATCCATTTATCACCAAGTATATATTACAATATATTACAGAATACTGTCAGTCTCTCTTGATACATGGGTGAGGAATAACTACCTGATTTAAGGCAAACTCCTCATTTCTATATAAAGATCACAACAGCACAGTTAATCAAGCCAATAGCACGACTTTCCGAACTCCAGAAAATTGCACAGAAGAACCTAATGAAGTCTGTGTTTTAGCTTGTTTACTTTTCATAAACCTACCAATTTGTCATCATATACCATAACAAGATGCAAATCCTGTAATTTTTTTTTTAAGTTACCTATCTCGGTTGCTTTTTTGTACAGTCTAAAATTCCCATTTAACTTTACCCAGTACATGTTCATGTCACCCTGAAAACATATCTTGGGATTTTACCCAGCTCATATAGCAATCCTTGAGTGTTAGCATCACTTTAAGTAGCTGTCCAGTTGAAGGAAATATATGAAAAGCAGCAATCTTTTACACACTTCCTTTGGCAAAGAAGAAGAAGCTGTAACTAACTTGATTTGTTTATCTGAAAGCCCACATGAAAATTACTGAGAGAAGCCAAAACAGGAATGTCGAACTATGCCATCAGTGCACTATATCTTGCATGTATTTTAACAACAACAAATTGTAACAATAACAACTACAGGTAAGGCTGGAGTTTGTTTTGTTTTTCCACTTTCCAAAGTTTGTTTGGCAGCTCATATTAAAAAATACCATTTTAGAGAGTTAGTACAATGATGATGATGATAAAAACCTGCAGCATTTTCATCTTAAATTAGATTTCAAAAGGCATCTAGTTAAAAAAAAAAAAGAAAAAAGAGAAAGAAAAGCAAATGTAGTATAAAACTGTGCCTATTATCTAAAGGACATCCTACTGCATGTTTACTAGTGTTTATGTTTCACATCAACATATTTTATAGAAGGATTTATATGCCTAACTCAAGTTGTATTTAAATCCTATGGTGCAGACTCTACCATAAAATGCCTCTTGAGTCCTATTAACTGTACCCATGGTTTTACTTTGCCTGCCTGCTTATTTAAGATCTAATCACAGTTTTGAAGAAAAGATTGTCACTTCTAAGCCTGTCCCCTCAGAACCTGTCTGTTATTAGCACTCAACTGGATATTTTCATCTTCTGTTGTTATTCTCTGTGGTCTTTGCAAATGCTATCTACTGGAATCTGCGACTATATGGACAAATTGACTACAAATGTCTAGGACTGCTGCTTTGAGTAACATGTAAGTGGCACATTATTCTGTCGATATTTTTGTGTGTTAAGGCGCAAAAGAAGATTTAGATTTAGTTTGCTAAATGTTTTTACCAATTACATACACTGAATCTCAATAAATATTTAAAAAATATACTATTTCTCACTAAAGATTTTTTAAAATGTTATAATTAGAACACTGAAATAAAAGTGATGGTGTACTTTTAAATGAAAATAGCATACAATTTCTATGTACAAATATGTGTGTGTGTACAGAAATACTACATATACATATATAAACTGTATACAGATATATAGGTGAAAAAAATGCTAAGAACTTAACGAGAACATTGACAAATATATTTCCTCATACTAATTTCCTCCTCAATTGTTAAAACAGAATACACTTTAATTTGAAGCAATGCACAGATTTAAGCCTTAAGATTTTTAGCAACTTCTCATATTTCAGACTAAACCTCGTTTAATTCTTCCACATTTTCTGTCACCATTTAGAAAATGTAACTATAAAAGTAGCTCGTGCACACTATTTAATTCAGCACTAAGCCTGGTGCAATTCTAAGAGCTATTACGAGCTGCTATTTAGGAGGCCCGTATACATGCAATTTATCTGGTATGTTAAAAAACATCTTTCTACGAAACTGGATTTGTAAAATATTCCATCTTAAGTGAGGCTACTCTCCTTGCATTTATCCAGCACTCGGTGCTGTAATTAAAAACCTGAATATTTATCAGTGACGGGCTTGAACGTAAAAGGTGCTGAGCGGCCTCAGCAGAGGAGAGGATCAGCCACTGAGCACCTGCAGGAGGGCAGGGAGGACTTGCAGAATTGGAGCCGGGCTGTTTACCAAACAGAGCGACACATTCCGCGCCTCAGTATCACTCACAGTCCCTGTCGGGAAGGAAAGCCTCAGGGACACGGAGTAGAAGGAACCAGGTTTGTGCATGTTTTGAAAAGGAGCCTTGCAGGGACAAGAACTCAGAGGTTGTAACCTTATAATTTAAACAGCTCCGGTAGCGGGACCAGAGGTTAATTTTCCAGTTCTAAAAGCAAAAGTAGCTCTCAGCTGACCCATTCAGAAAACAAGCAAACAAACTTAAAAAATGTTTTAAAAGTGGGGCTGGGAGTACAGCTGCAGACGGGAACACAGCTGGTCCCTCTTTCCCGCAGCTCGCGCTGTCACCCTACGAACGCCCCGCCGCGCGCGGGCACACGGGGACGAGCTCGCTCGTCCCCTGACTGCGGTGGCTCTCAAGCCGGCCGCGCTTTTTATTTACACCTCTGGCACGCAGCAAGCCCGGGAAGTCACTGCGGTGCCCGCGCCTCGGCGCCGACTTTGGAACAATTCCCTGCAAAAGGCAGCGAAGTCGCAAGGAATGTGGCCCTCTGGTGGAAACGCTCGGATCACATCGCACATGACAGCGGCAGCGCGCGGTAAACTAAACTAAGCGCCTCCAAACAGCTCCCGCAGAAGCTCCCGCGCAAGTTTTGCTCAGCGCGCCGGGCGCTCCGCGTCCCGGGCAGGCGGCGAGGCCAGCAGCCCCCGGCAACCACGGCGCCAAACAAACTCACCTGCTGTTGTTGCAGATGCAGCAGTTCCACTGTGCTTACTTCAGTGCTCGTGTCACCACTTGATCTTCCATCTCTGCTGCCAGCATCTAATTGGCTGCTTAGAGTGCTCATTCCATTTTGATTCATTGAACTGTTGCTTATTGTCTCTGTCGCGGATTCCTGCATCATGACTTAATAC